GCTAGGGTTGGAACCCAGGGCCTTCCATGAGCTGCATCCCCAGCCTGTTATGCATCTTTGATGTCATAATATTTGTAGGAGTGATGTCTTTCAATGTTCACTTAATTTCTTCCACTATCAGACACAGGCAACAGAGAGGCTGAAGTGGCAGGATTTTTGCTGGACATTATGGGTTCAAGTCTCCTTTGTTCAGGGATACCTAGACATGCCAATGGACTATTTCTTAGACAGCATCACACACAAGAACTAGCTTTTGCATTATTCCAGGCAAGAATGTGCTTCTAGGACAGTTTACTTATATTCACAAAGGGCTTCTGAGATGAGTGTTAGATGGGATTCTCATCAGAAGATGCTGCAAGCTATTGAACTAAAGTGTCTTCTGCCTTTGCCATAAATCTAAGCTTAAAATTGGTACCCAGTTAGAGTCACTGTGTATGTGGGAGAGTAGACATAGATGAGTAAATATAGAAATGGAAGAATGAGGCTTAGCCTGAACTTGGCTTTCTCCATCCTGTCTGTGGCCAGCTTGTATATTCTCACTGAGCCCTTCATCTGACTGAGACATTTTCTTTTCTGCAGCACCACAGTTAGGTCTCATCTGTCTTTCTGAGTGAGCTGGGAATCTACATAGCCAGCAATAATAGTGTTCCCAGCACCTAACTGCTGTACAGCCACCCTGAGCAGACAGACCTGGAACTAGGTTGCCACCCTTCACCAAACAGGTCACCATAAAACCAGGTGTGATGGCACACACCTATGATTCCAGCACTCAGAACACTGAGGCATGAGACTGAAGCAGGAGTTCAAGGCCAGCTGGGGCTATACAGTGACACCCTGTAGCAAACACAATTCTCTTCACAGTAGGAAGAGAATTTATTTAGCCATTCACGTGCACATTCACAGAAAGCAAGGCCTTCGGAAAGCCAGACCTCAAAAACAAAACAGAATATTTTGGCCTTTGAATGGAAAGTAATTTTCAAAGAAAATTCGAGAGATTTACATGGATTACAACCGTAAGTTTTCTTACAAGATTAAGGGTCTTGTTCTAACGTGTCCTTGTATTGTTAGGCTGTGAGAGATGAATTGGAGAAGCGTTTCTCCCTTCTGTGCTTCTTTCTGTTTTTATTACTTTACAAGGTCTGAACATTTTCCTTCACTTAAAATTTGATGGTAGCACCTGGAGTTTCTGGCAGAAGTTAAGCTGCTGTTTGGAAATTTTGGTTGCCCAGACCCCTGCTGCTTCTCTTCTCCTTGGGGTTGCTGGTCCTTCCATAGTTAGGGAAGGGAGCATTTAGGTGAGAGAGCAGGGGTCAAGGGTAGGCCCTCACCAGTTGGAGCTGGAGTAATTGGGGAAACTGCAGACAGTATATTCTTCACAGCAGAGGACTGAAGGCAATGCCTTACAAGAAGCCTTGCTACACAGTGACACACGCAAACCTTGGCCTCCTTTACCTCGCAGGTAAACCGTGGCCTTCTCCACATCTTTTCAGATTTGGGGGATGTAGTGACTTGATCTAGCTCCAGTTACTCAGGCTCCCTTTTAAGCCTTTTCTAGTCTGTCATCACGTTCCTGGTCATGGCTAGTCATGGGGCACTGCAGTTAGGTGTATGTGATTCTTTGATCCCCAGGTCCCTGGATGTCTCTGGTGAACACTCCTTCATGACCCAAGAGCTCAGGTCATCTGCCTTGTCACCAGGCACATCTTCAGTCCTCTGTGCAGTCCTTTCCAGCCTGTGCCCTCACTTTCTTCTGAAGGCCCCATTCATTCTTGTGTGTCTGATACCTGACAGTTTAGTACCTGCTAACTAAGACAGCTTCCCCTTGGGACTAATATATTTCAAACCTCACCTGAAAGAGGAAGTGAGGTGTTTGTAATGCCACCTAACTTAGCTCAAAATATGACTGCAACAGCCTTAGAAGGGTTTCAGGATTCCAGATCTCAATTCAAGGAAATCAGGTCCAGAACTCTTCTGAGACATACCTTTAAAGCAAATTATTTATGTGTTATAGTCACAGCTTCTAGTTTTAACCACCAACAATAGAATAGGAATGCAATGCTTGAGATCTCCAAAGGTCTTTGTTCATTTGGGAGAGGGCTTCATATTTCCATCCAGAGATTCCGGGTTCCTGTTCCTCTTTTCCCTTACCAACCACAGCTCTTACTGAGTTTCTGAATCTATTTGAAATACAGCAACATTGTGGAATGAATGTATTCTTTAATGAATGCACCTAGCAGGTATTCTTGTCCAAAGCTGCAGCAGGAGAGAGTGATTAAATCCTTCCATGGTCCAAGCATAGCAAAACAGACTCTAGAGACCCCTGTCCATCGATAAGCCAATCCAGCCCCTGCTGAAGATTCTCTGGGTATAGAGAGGAAGTTGAGCTTTACTGTCATTAAGTAGCTCGTGTTTTTCTGTAGGAAAAACTGGAAGTGGAGATAGACAAGGAAATATGAAGCTACAAATCACTAATGTTACCACCCAGTGTTTGATATGTCATTCCATGTGGTTTTCCCAGCCATGGAAACAGTTGCATGTGTAAAGGGGTAGAGCCTCTCCAGGCCACCAGGTCCTGAGCTACCCCACTAGTTTCACAGTTGGGAAAGATTTTTAAAAGTGAGGCTATACCACAGCAGAACCAAAAGCATGATGGTGAATGTTGATGTAGCTCAGCACCATGTATAAGGCCTCACCCAGCACAAAGATGGTGTTAACTTACAGGTGTGCAGTGGGGTAAATAGCCTTTCTCCCTCCTCTTCAACTGGTGACACTTTAAGTCTACTGAAATAAACTGGCAATAGGTAGATTATCTGGTGGGGGCCGGGGGGAGGCATGCATGAATTTTCCTGTACTGGGCAGCACAGGAGAGCAGGTTCCCAGTAACTCTGAGGCCTAGAAGCTCCACAGGGGAGAAAAGTGGAGACGCAGGCAGGTTCAGAGGAAGAGTAAATGGCTTTTACGGGCAAGAATGGACCTGAAGGGCCAGAGTTCCCCAACTCTGTGTGTCCTGTTTGATTCAGGATCTCTTCCTCTAAGGAGATTTTAATCATCCTCTGTTAATGACATTTCAGTAAGAAGATTGAATGTCATTGTGTTCTTGGTTACCAGATCTGGCCTCTAGCTAGATAAGGGAACCTCAGAGAAAAGCCTCATCAATACTTTCAGATCCAGTTAATGCATAGTTTGAAATAGTCGGATGCTATATTTAGGGGTGAAGTTCCCTGGACTCATTCACCTGTACTGGAAGAAGACACCTCAGTTTTAATTTTAAGGCTTGAGCTAGTTGCATTTCCTTCTCTACAAACCCCATGACAGGATCCTTCTGAAACATCTTAGAACCTATACAGTTTGTTAGCAGTACAATGTGACATCTCTGTGTACATACAGGTAATTATATGTTCCTGTAATTGCTGCACCGAGCTGCATTGTACACACACACACACCTATTGCAACATTCAGGAAGTCATCTTGGGTACTTATTTCTAATTCCTTTGCTAGTATAGCACCCTTGTGAATATTCTTGAGTCACTTCTTCATACCTTTCCTTTCTCAGGATGAGTTCTGAGAAGCATATATACTCATATATTTTTAATATTTTTAAATGTCTCAATTTTACTATCAATTTTAGGAAAAGACAGCTTGAGTTGCACTCTTTTACTATTGACTTCACTATGACTCAGTTTAATTGTCATAGATGCTAAGTACCACAGGCAGGGCTATGTGAGTCACTTCTTCATACCTTTCCTTTCTCAGGATGAGTTCTGAGAAGCATATATACTCATATATTTTTAATATTTTTAAATGTCTCAATTTTACTATCAATTTTAGGAAAAGACAGCTTGAGTTGCACTCTTTTACTATTGACTTCACTATGACTCAGTTTAATTGTCATAGATGCTAAGTACCACAGGCAGGGCTATGTGATGGAACTCAGAGGCCAAAAAAAAAAAAAAAAAAAAAAAAGGACCAGCTGGGACTACAGGGAGACCCCAAAAAAAAAAAAAAAAAAAAAAAAAAAAAAAAAAACTGTGATTAGGCATGGGCTTGGCCAGATGGGTAGTGTGATGCTCAGAAACAGGACGCTGTCAGAGCACACCCACAGAGGCCCTTCAAGGCAGAGAGCAACAGAGTCTGGAGCCTGTGTGGCAGCCTGAACTGACACTGGAATGCCAGGCCTGGACCAGGGTAAATCCATGTGAAGGGAACTGCTCTGGGCCACCCCCCCTCCAAGTCCCTGAAGTCCCTGCAAAGAACCCTGATTGACAGTCTCAGCCTCTGCCATTGCTTCCTCTGAGAACCTCACCCCACTGTGCAGTGGTACTTGGTTGAGATGGTAGAGGTCACCAGGAAAAAGCCCCAGGGAGTAGTAGGGTATGGCCAAACTTAAATGCTGCTTGCTTGGCCACATTGCAGCCACTGTGATGCCACCTTGTCAGTTGCCAGCCTATTCCATGCTCTTGACCTTTGCTTACTCAAAACTAACATTTAAGGAACCCTGACTCTCCAGCCTCCATTTCTGTTCAAACATAACAAAAAAGTTCCCATAAACCCCAAGTATGTTCACGATTCTTCTGTGGAATCATAATACATGATTTTACTTTCCCCAAAACCAGGGTCCCTAACCTTGGCATCTTCCTCTTCTGAGCTGGGAGAGACACTGACCTTGGTACTAGTTAGCTGTGGTAGGAATGTAGGGATGCCTTACTCCTCAGAAGGGTGGCTCCATTTCTCCCAGGAAGGATTCAGAAGAACATTCTGATCAAGAGGGGGCAAGAAGCACTTTATAAAACAAGGACAACAGCAGAGGTCAAAGAGAGAGAATGCAGGTGAGAACCTGGCGAGACAGAGCAGAGCCCACCCAGCGGCCCCCTCTCCTCTCTCTGAATTGAATACTTCCTGTTGTTTTTTGTGTCGCAGGATGTTTCTACGTTGATTAAATTACAGCCTCCCTGTTGTTGAAGGAAGACCTGTAATACCCCTGTTACTTCTGTTTCTTGTAGGCGAGTATGGTCCTGAGCTCTGCTCACTTCTGGTTGGGATTATTTCTGGTTCCTACTGCCTGTTTGATTGAAGATGTGGCATGGAGAGCGTAAGTAGACCTGACGTCTCTGCCCTTGCAACATTCTCTCACATGGGCCCTGCTGCAGGAAACCAGGGCCTCTGAATTCTGAAGAAACAGGACTCCTAGCACTTGCCAGAGGAAGCGTCACTTTTTTTTAATTTGTCTGTACTTTATTTTGATAGGAAAATGCAGATGAAAAGGAGTCCAAAGCAGAAATCATGTGAGGGTCCATAGGGTGCGGCTTTTTGCATGATTTTTGCAGTTTCCAAATAACCCACTTTGTCAGGCTTAGGAAACAGGACTGAGACTTCTTTCACACCTTAAATTTGATGCCAAGTGACAAATAAGGCCTGACTCTAAACCCCATGCTTGGTGGGAAACTGTGCTACATGTATGTTGCCTCCATGACAAGAATGAAGTAGTAATCTTCATGTTTCTAAGCAGTTCACAGTAGGAATCCTGCCAGTCAAATTCTTCTAGACAGGGAGTTTACAGGTCTAGGAGAAAATCACATACCAAATATATTATCAATCAAATAGAAATTAATTCAAACTCAGTTTCTGCTTCTGTGTTTTAAAGTATTTCTAAAATATCTTGCTTCAAATATAAAAGAAGCAACAATGTCTCAAGACAATGTAAAGTTTTATCTTCCTCCAGGAGCAAAGAAAGAATGTTTGAAATGAGATAGTGTTGATATGGTTGATAGTGTTGATATAGTGTAAGTGGGCCCCCCACTCTTCCGAGAAAGAGTTGCCAACTTCCCTGAAAATTGAGACTTCTAGCTTAGGCAAACCAACAATTGTTTCAGGGCCCTGAGGTAGAGAATTGGGACTTTAATCCAAACCTTCCAGGAAAAGACATGGGATATCATTTTTATCTCTTCATTCCTCCCACAGTTAGTGGAAGTTATTCTTGCCTGACAGTTAAGGGGATGTCTTTTGAGAAAGACTTCATTTTGGCATTATTTGACAACTGATGATGCTTAATGCAGACAGTGGGAAAGAATTTTAGTGCACATATTTTGTTTTTATTTTCTTCTGCTCATTGGGTTTTTTAATTACTACTAAAAATGAAATAATTTTTACTTCTTAAATGCTTTGACAAACCACTACTTCTATCGTATTTGCTACAATTAAGTTCTATAAGTGGCATGATCAGTCAATACCCTTGAACGTGATTATAGCCAGGAAAGAGATTTCCTTAACCTAACAGATACACTGTAAGAAAATATTCAGTTATTTGCTCTTCGAGTCAGTAGGCCCAAACTCAGCACAATATATTCCCTAGCTGAATTTGTCCTCTTCTGCAGATAAGTTCATTTTAGAGAAATACATCTTAGCTTTGCTGCATCTGACAGCATTTTCAATTTGCAGAAGTTGGGAAGCAATAATAGGCTCATAAATTAGTCTCAGACGGTCTTAGTTGAGCTCTCTTAAATTAATGTCAGGAACACAAGTTTTTATTGAGACTCCTTCTGCCAGTGGGTCTTCAGCAAAAGTATCTTTGCTTCATTTCAAAGAGAATGTTTATAGGTTACATAGGCTCTGCTTCCTCCTGTTTTCTGAACCCTTTCCAATGCATTCCAGTCCAAATTCCCTGTCACCACAAGGCAAATTATCTCTTCCCTCCAACAAGACTTGTTTTAGTCTTGTTTGTAGGACCCCAGCACTATAAAATTAGCACCATTTACATTTTAACAAGGATAAATCAGATGATAGTGCTTCCAGCTCCAGCATACGGAAAGAATAAAGCCACTTCCTCTCTGGGTGCTTGCCAGCTGGGCTCCAGCCGGGTCCAGAGCCCTACAAACCTGGAGCCAGAGGGGAGGCTGTTCTTGCCTGTTATATTGAAATACTTGCAGCTCCTGCTTGCTGCCTGGCAGGGGTGGCCAGCACAACTGCTCCCAGAACTGGCACCCTAGTGCCAGAGCCAGAAGGGCCATACTGACTTGCAGACAGGCTTCTTAAAATGCACTTTGCTCTTGCTTTATTGAGGGAAGCTGGGAGAATAGTGTGTCCATTAGCTGACACTTGGGGCTGCCAACAGCATTAGGCCCCATTTATAATGTCAACATGATACCTAAACTTCACCCATCCTAAAAACAAGAGTTTTGTGAATGTATGTGAGAACTACCCTGCTGATCATGGGGTTCATATTCTGCCTAATATTATACACTGTGCCGGAAATGTTTGTCAAGGCAAGTAAATCAGGGGGCTCCTCCCAAGGAGAGGAAGCAGGTGGTAAATTCCCTGTCTCTGACAAAACAGTGCTCACCTGTGATCTTTCTGTCTGGACTGCACTTATAGAAAATGCCTCCCTCATAGCCCCCATGACTGAGCTACACTCCTAGCCCCTGAGACTGCAGGTACCACCACCCCAGGGCTGTCTTTGGAAAGAGCTTTTGAACTCCAGCACAGAGCAGGCCTGACTTTTCAAGTAGATGTTTGTGAGCACCTAAGAACCTGGGGGTGAGTGGCTTGCCGTCTGCCTTCTCCCTACTTTCTTTGCCCAGTCTCTCACTTCCGTTTCAGAACCTGGGCTGGTAAGAATATAAAAAAGGAGAGCAACTGAATGAGGTAATTCACTTTTTTGACAAAGTCTGTCAGCTTTCTGGATGAGGATCCATTATTAACCTATCTTAAGTCAGATTTGGAACACCATTAAAAGCCTGCCCTATTATCCTGCTCTCCAGTTTTATGAGGGATCAAACGACCCTATGGTTTATTAACATAATTGATTATATATGATCCCTAGCTAATGAGAAGTCTTATTAGAAGCATGAAGTATAAATTGCCCAGAACTATTTTAATATCCCTTAGTTAACCCTCTCCCAAAATGCTCACCTGTGACATCATGCTTCCTAAGCTGCCGTGTATAAATAAGCATCTAGGAGAATTTTGTTACTATCACTTTATATATGTTATACAAAGCTCAAGGCCACCATGCACAGAGGACCAAGTTTCCTTCTTTCAAACTGTATCTCCTGTCTTTTACCAGGCATCACATAATACATCCCCCACTTCCAGAATGACTTCATTTCCTCCTTATAATCCCAGATAGGTAGTTAAATGGCAATTAAGGGTAATCAACAATTTCTGTGCATAAATGGGCCTTGGGTTTTTTTTTTAAACGTTCTAACCAAACCAATTTCTCTTGAAGCTCATTGTATTTCCATGTTCATCCCCAGTCAGAATGTAATGTTTCCATTGTACTTGCTATGCCTGCATGCAAAAGGAATTCAGAAAAAAAGTTTAAGAAACCAAAAGATGAGACGTTCAGAATGTTGATCCAAGATATTTGTTTTAAAAGGGCCTAAGGGGACAGGAAAGCAGAGGAAGACCATTGGGGAAAAGGACTGGGACCAGGGGGAGGCAGATAAGAGAGGATAATGCAGGGGGGGGATGATGAAAGTAATCATGCCTGCATGAAAATCCCACAGTGAAATCCATTGTTTTATGCAAATAATATACGCTAGTAAAAAGAAGACAATTAGAAGTCCACAAGTACGGGGGGCTGGAGAGATGGCTTAGCGGTTAAGAGCACTGACTGTTCTTGTAGAGGACCAGGGTTCATTTCCCAGCACCCACATGGCGGCTACAAATCGTCCTTAGCTCCAGTTCCAGGGGAATCTGAAGCCCTCTTCTGATGTCCACGGCATTGCACAGCACGGGTGCACACACATACATGCAGGCAATACACTTATACATATAAAATAAAAATAATAAATAAAGTATTTCTCCTCTCTAATAATTCAATGTAAGATATCAATATTTGCAACAAACCTTTGTTCATGGCATAACATTTTCTATATTCCTATTTTTAACTATAAAAACAGCTGGGGCTGAAAAGATGATCCAGCGGCTAAGAACACTGGCTGCTCTTCCAGAAGTCCTGGATTCAGTTCCTAACAACTACCTTGTCTCTAACAACCATCTGCAACTCTAGTTCCAGGGAATCTGACACCCTCATTTTGTCTCCACTGGTATTGCACACCTGAGGTGCACTTCATACATGTGGGCAAAACACTCATACATGTGATGCACTGCACTTATACACATGTAGGCAAAACACTCATCCACCTAAAATTAAAATTTAGGGGTTGGAGAGATTGTTCACTGGTTAAAAGCACTGACTGTTTTTGCAGAGGACCTGGGTTCAATTCCCAGCACTTATATGGTGACTAACAACTTTCTGTAACACTAGTTCCAGGGGAATTTGACACCTTCTTCTGATCTCGTTTGGTATTGCACAACACAGGTGCACTCACATACATGCAGGCAATACACTTATACATATAAAATAAAAATAATAAATAAAGTATTTTTTAAAATCCCCAAGAACCCAGAGGTACCCTTAACTATATTTGAAAGCTCATGAATGACTCCTGTCAGCAGTAACCAGATATTTCCACCCTATCCCTTCTGTGCTTACCTGGTGCTTGAGTGGGATGAGATGAAGGAAGCCCTGGACCACTGGGAATAAATCACTTACAGATAATCAGATTTCCTATGCCAGAGCTGTGATCCAAATCCCAACTCACAATGAGACCTAATTTCAAACCAGTGGTGAGTGCTTAGGAGTCTGCCTTGGTAGCCAGTCTGTGTGAAGTCACCACATGTATACTTTGACAGAAGACTTTCTGGTGTGTTTTTCTATTTCACTCCCTATTAGGCAGAGGTGCTTGGGAAAATGATCTTAAATTGCTAGCATCCCTTCTATGTACCTGCTGCATATAGAAAGAGTAGCCTAGGCCTCCCTAGGCTGACAACCCAGGGCTCTCAGTGGCTGACTTCCCAGGCTAGCTCATAGGAGCCAGCCTGGTAGAGTTGCATCCTTTGAGAACACACACAGTTTCTGGGATTGTGGAGGTGAGCAGGCCACTGATTGCCCTTTGAGGCCATTCAACAGTATTTGCATGCTGGGGGTCACCTTGGTTTTGGGTCCTACCCTACTCCATGTGTACTCTTCCTATCCCAAGCCTCCTCCTCAGTGGCCTTTGTCTCTCTTGGCCCAGAAGATAGCAATGGGCTAGCATAGAGGTTGACAGTGCTGTGCAGGAGGAAGGGTAATGATAGAGAGAGGACTGCTCTGGCTGTGTGGGGAAGCATAGGACCTATGAATAGGGTGACTTTGAGCAGGGTGGGGCATGCCACTTACTGGCTTATTAGCAGCACAGCCCATAAGCCCATGAGATGAAAGGTACTGGATGGGGCCCAGCACTTTCAGCAGTATTAGACAGTATACATTTTAACATCCTTTCTGTCTCCAAAAACATTGGCCAATTTCTCATTTATTGTTTAAATTCTGCAGTCTCTGCTTTGAACTGTGGTATTTTATCAATACTGAGCCTCAGGACTCCCTTTGAAGTAATTAAGGTATTATGTGTTAAAACCTGTATGGTTTTCCCTTGTTTATTCTGTGAGGAAGGATGTCAGGCACATCTTCCATGTCTTCCTGCTACTACTCCATTACAGATAGCCATGGAATACTGGGTGGCCTGGCCTTATCTGATCAGGTGCTCTGTCCTGGGAGGCTGAGGGTGCCTGGGAGGAACAAGCCCCCATCTCCAGAATGTTCCCTGTCACCATTTTCACTTCTGAGTAGTGCACTCAATTCTGTTCTTGCCCAGCAGGCTCAAGTGCGTTTATGTCAACATGAAGTTGTCCCAAAGCTGTTTGTGATTAGAAAACTGGCAGGCACTGCCCATTTATGAGGCTTTTCGTTTTGCAGTATTTCTTTCCCGGTATCTACCACCTATCTTTTCTTCTTTTTAGTGGTACTAGGGATTAGTCCAAGGGGTGAGTGTTCTGCCACTGAGCTACTTCCCCAGGCCATCTCTTGTTAAATACCTTTTCTTCACCTATATATTTCCAATTGGAGGATCAATTTTAATTTTCTTTAGTTTAAATTTTTTTAAAGTGTAATGCATAGATGGGGCTGGAGAGATGGCTCAGCAGTTGACTGCTTTTGCAGAGGACCCAAGTTCTATTCCCTGTACCCACATGGGGCCTAACAGATTCTGGGGGATCTGATGCTCTCTTCTGACCTCTGCAGGCATTGCACAACATGGATGCACTTACACACATGCAGGCAATACACTCATACACATAAAATAAAAATAATAAAATATTTTTAGAAGTTTAATGCATTGACATAAATTTAGTGAGACTATAGTGTGTTTATGTGTCTATATTTAATTAAGCTGGAGCTAGTAGAACAGTAGCCCAGTGACAAAGCATTTGTCTAGCATTTATTAGGTCCTGGGTTCAATCTGTCACCCCCCTCCAAACTAAGATGCTTTGTAGGCAGAAAATAAGATCTTTAAAAGATATTGCCTCATGGCAATGAAAAATATAGTGTTTCAAGACAACCTATCTTTTCTTTTTTAGTTGTCACCAAATTGTGCATAGTTATGAGGTACAGCATGATGGTTAACATGTATATAGTTAGTTAGTTAGTTAGTTAGTTAGCATCAATTTTAGAGGAAACTGAGATGAGCACATTATTTGACCATTGTGCGGATTCTTAGTTTAACCAGGAAAAGGGAGCATGTAATCCCTCCACCAACAATCTTAAACCAAGTGTCCAGGTTGAGTTCACATTGTGGCAGGAAACCAGCTCAGGATTTTCTGAGTAAATCCTAGCCAGAGGAGGAGTAGAAGGCTGTGCTTGATTTTTTTCATTGACTCCAAAGGTTTTGCACCAAGAACATGAACTCTGGTATCTAAACCTCATCTCTGCTGAGGCAGTGGCTCTTTTCATACTGGACGGGGAGCAGGAACTACCAACTCCTGGGTTCTGTGACCCAGTTGGGCAGGGACCAACACCTATGCAAAGGGAAAGATTTAAAATTTCACTGCTTCAGATCCTGTAGTGGATGCTCTAGGGACCAACTCCTAGGTCTTCAGGGCTCCTCTAGTCCTTGGTCTCAATAGCCTGGTCCTCAGCTCTTTGGGGATGGGATGCCTGTCGTTCACAGTCCAGGACTCATCTGTGGTATGGGCTGTGCTGATGGAGTTTGTGTTGCATGTAGAGATGATGAATGCTCCCCTATGTCCAGGTCTCAGCCTCAGTGAGAGGTCCCCTAGGTGTGGTGGAAAGGGTGGTTGGTGGTCAGTGTTCACAGCACTGTCAAGGTTACATACCATGTTCCTTCTGTGTATTCTTCCTGGTCCAGGGCCATGCACACCTGCAATAAGACACTGCTGGAAGAGGTACAGGAGCTGGAGACCAAATCCAGAGTGATGGGGAAAGCAATGCTGCGGGATGGTACTGCAAAGAGGTAGGCCCCCCTCCATGGTGTGTTCTTCTTGTCTCTTCTCTCTGCCTCTTTCCCAGGTTTCCCCTCCTCAGCTCAGATTTCAAGGGGAGCATGGTGGGCTCCACTTCAGGCATTGATTACAAGCTAAGAATGTGATCCTGGTGGTGAGTTTCAAATTGCAGCTCCTGAGCAGCCAGGGGAGTCTGCCTTTCTGGTTATTGGGCCTGTCCCCGGGTAATAGTAGTGATTTTGTTGGGTTTGGATGTAGACAAAACAACCATGTACATAAAACTGACAGCATAGCAATATTTTCTTAAAGCAGAAGAGTCCAGGTTGAAAGAAGATCCAAAAGCCAGGCCTTAGGATTTTAGGCCCAATCATTTTCCCCAAGGCGGAACATGTACAGGAAGGTTTGTGGCTAATGAAGCAGTGTTTTAGCTGTCTGTGGAAATTCCATTACAATCCATCTCAGAATACCTGGGAAGGGGAATTTTTAAAAATAAAAAATTATTTCCCACTAGAGTTGAGAAAGGTTATGGGCATTGTTGGCACCAAAGCTGCTGTTTCATCTTTTATTTAATTCTTTGAGAATTTCATATAATACATTTTGATCATATTCACTTCCCACCTAATTCCTCACAGATTCACCCCCTTCAATTTATTTATTTATTTATTTATTTATTTATTTTTGTCTTTTTGAGACAAGGTCTCCCAGTACCTGAGCTAGCCTGGAACTCATGCTGTGTAGACCAGGCTGGCCTTGAGCTCACAGAGATCCACCTCCCTAGTGCTGGGATTAAAGATGTGTGCCTTCAAGCCCAGCCTGCTTCACCTCTTTATTTCTCATGGAATGTCAACCTGCCCTGCCCCATACTTACCAGGTGGCCTCGGAAGAGGATATATGTTCCATTGGATGTGCTAAAATAGGGTGTGTTTGTTTGAAATGTATGTGCTATAAAAGGAGATGTCCTTGGGCCAAGGATCATCTGCAATAATAGAAAGATATTGCTGTTTTAGCAGTATGAAATATCTAGACAGTTCTGAGTACTCCTCCTAAGTGCTTTGAAGGCAAACCTGTCACAACTAATGAAACAAAGATCCGGAAGCTGAGTAAGTTAGAGACTTCTTAGTTTTGCTTTATATTGTGTTTATTTGAACCATCTTTTAGAGTCATGAAATCAAAGCATATTTTGTCTTTAAAGAAGGATAATTTGGGCTGGGAAGATAACTCGGTCTATAAAGTGCTCACAGGGCAAGTACAGGCACCTGACTGAGTTCAACCCCAAGTATCCATGTAAAACTCCAGGGATGGTAACACTTGTGATCCCAGCACTGGTGGATTTCTGGGTAAGAACCCTCAGCACTGGAACTCAGTGAGGAAAAAAAATCAATATAATATATAATAAGCTCTTGTTCTCCAGCTCTGGGCAGATGGAGACGGGTGTATCTCTAGGGCTTACTGGCCAGCTAGCCTAGCCTTATCAGCAAGCCCCAGGTCCCAGTTGGAGATCTTCTCTCCAAAACTCAAAGTAGATACTGCCTAAGGAGGAAAGATGCCCAAGGTTGTCCTCTGAACTCAACACACATCCATATGCACATGTATACACACACACACACACACACACACACACACACACGCACACAAATGAGAATTGGGAATTCTAGATAGTTCAGAAATATCACTTCAAATAATCATAGATTTAAAAAAAATAACTTATTGAGAATTCTATACATGCATATAAGGCGTTTTGATCAAATCTATGCCCACTCCTTCCCCTCCAACTCCTCCCATATCTCCCCATCACTTATTTCTGATAGCTTCACATACTCTTTCTTCTTTTATCTATGGGGCTTTTTGCTACTCTAACATTCTCCCCTCTGAAAAGGTAACCCTAAAATCTTTTAAGGATTAGATAAGAGCTCCCAAATACTTTCGACAATTTTGGCCTTTGGAACAGAGTATGTTGCTAAGAGGCCCAAAGACATTTTGACTTTTAGCCAAGAAACTGGCTACTTTTCTTTGGGGTCTTTTTACCATAACTGCCTAGCCAATCACTACCTTCTATTCTTATCACACCATCCTCTAAAGAGGTTATCCACCTTGCACATAGGGAATCGGGATGCAGACTGCTCTGGTTTCTTCTGTGTTGAACAGGGATGCAGGGTGAGGCAATTGGGGTACCCCTTCAGTGGGTCTGTCTAAAAGACTCCCAAACTAGAAAAAAAGTCAGAACAGGGCAATTTTCAAATGTTCATATGAGAGTCCATTTGAATTTCTTGACAAGGGCTTCCAAAAGCATATCTCTATTGGGTTCCTCCCCATTTTTCTTTTGTCTTCCAAGGCTGAACTCTAGAATGATGGATTCAGGATTTACTTTCAGGTATTTTGATAGCTGTTGGAGTGGTTAGAATCAGTGTCAATTCCCTCTCAAAGGCTTCTAGATCAGGGGGAAAAACAAATGTAGCTATCATTTTTGAACAGTAACAGGTTGTCTCCCTTAGCTACAGGTGGACACTACAGTCTTGGAGACCAAGATTTGAAGTCTTACATCTGAGCAGCACTTTCTGATTAGGAACAAAATCATCAATGAGAAATAATTGTCTAAATAACTTTTTATATGGACTTAAACCTAATGTCTGGGAAGTATAATCCCTTGAACTTTTAAAGAAATATACTGATGTCTTTACTCTTTGGTTATACTTTTCTTTTGGGTGGTTAAGATCATACAGTTGACCCAAATAAATCAATTTATTTTTATACTTAAGGTTGTTTGAGGATCTGTTCCTCAGGGGTCACATGAGCTTGGGAGAAACCATTGCTCCTTTCTTTTACCAGTTCCATCAACCATAGATATTTTAGGAAAGAGTTTGGGAGTATGTTGTTGAAGTTGTGTTTTTGGTTTTATTTATGACTTACTTTTTAGCAAGTTAGTGCATTAAGCATTATGCTAGTAATTATAAACCAATAAAACAAAAATTGCTGTCTCCAATAAGCTTAAAGTTAGGGCAGAGGATATAGTGTAGTGGTAGAGGGCTTGCCTAGCATTGCAAGTTCCATCTCCAGCACTGCAAAAAAGAAAAGAAAAGAAAAAGCAAATAAACTTAACATTGTGAACAGGTAGCAGGGATCCTTGTCTGTCAAATAGTCTAGGCACAGAGTTTAGTGCCTACTAGATCTTCAAACATTCTTCAAACTAGACCTATAACATTCTTTTGAGACCTGAAAAAAAATCATATTCATAGGCTGCAAAAATTTGGCAGTAGGAAGCACCAGCAAATTGAGATCGATAAAAAAAAATTCATATTTGTCTTAATACCTGTTAAACTTGGTAAGCACAAGTTTTATCATATTCAGAATCCTACAGGACCTCTTATATCTCACAAATTCTCAAGGTTACACAGGATTTCTAAACAAGCATAAATCATTTCTAACTAGTAATGAGAATTCCAAACAGAATTGTCAGATCTATTGAGACAGAGCAGAGGAGAGCATTCCATGTGATGTGATATGAGAATATCCATCCAGCTTTGCTCGGCTCCATCTGGCCAGAAGTTTCCTCACAATACTGGGCCAGACAGCTCGGACAGTCAGAGGACTATCTGACTGGAGCCATCAAGAAAGGCTTTCATGCTGGAGAAAGGGTAAAAAGGGGACTTAGGTTATAAAGGACTTGAGTGGGCAGCAGCAGTGAGCAGGCATCCGACAGAGGGCACCTGTGTAAGGGCACCCGGGAGAATGTGCCGAGGCAGGGACCCCCCCACCCTAGCTTGCAGGGCCATAAGCACCCTCCAGAGATCTGGAGTCTGTATGTGAATCCTGACTGAGCCACTTAGCTGTATATCCTTCCTTTGGAATCTGGTCACACATTGACATCTCTTCATCTGTCCTAGACATCTAGTACTTTGAAGGGAGGGATGAGACTTATGAAATAATATGTACAGCCTGAGTCATTGTGAGTAAGCAGAGTATCAGCAGTGAATATTCAGTTTGACAGGAGAATCATGATAGTAAAGGGAGTCATGCCTGGACTGTTAACTTTGAAAGAAGACACAAGGGTTGGAGAGATAGTTCAGCAGGTAAACTCCCCTGCCACCAAGCCTGGAAATCTGAGTTCAGACCCTAGTATCAACATGATAGAAGGAGAGAAATGACTCCTGCAAGTTGTCCTTTGGCCTCCACACACACGTGCTATGGCTTGTAAGTGCCTTAGCAAACACGCATACATATACACACAACAATAATAAATTAATAAAATTTAAAAATCAAAAAATACATTGTAAAATTCTCCAGAAAAAAGAAAAATTTCTTTTAAAAAATATTTTTATTATTTTTATTTTACATGTATGAGTGTATTGGCTGCATGTGTGTAAGTGCACCTGTTGTTGTACAATGACGGCAGAAGTCAGAAGAGGGCATTGTATTCCCTGGAACTGGGGTTATGGCAGGTTGTTAGCTGCTATGCTGGTGCTGGGAACTGAACCTGGGTCCTCTGCAAGAGCGGTCAGTGCTCTTAACCACTGAGTCACCTCTCTAGCCCCAAGAAAAATTTCTTTTTTTAAAAAAAAAAAAAAAAAAAGGTGGGTTTTGTTTTTGTTTTTGTTTTATTTCTGTGCTGTACTAGGGGTTGAATCCAGGGCCTTGCACATGCTCTGCCACTGAGCTACATTGCACCCCTGAAGAGTTCCCCTAATCTAAGCCACCAGGACTCAACCAAACCTGGATTTATGGTTTCAACTCAGAACAGAATCTCAGGCCTTGCCAGTATGTTGTAGAGTTGGAGATTTTTTGCTGTTGTTGTTAAAGTGTTTTCATGTAGAAGAGAGGCGCTCAGGAAGAAAGATATACACATGTATAGGTCTGAGTTTCCCAAGGGAGAGAAGGGGGAAGGTGGGACATGCCCAAGTGTGGGTTCAGGCTCCTGAAGGGAGAGTCCCACTTAAGGGTCTAAGCCTCAGTCCTTTGGTAGTTCTCAGGTTACATTTCAAAAAGAAGGTTGTTAAGAAACTTCTAATTTTTCATT